CATCTTCGAGTAAGTGACAATCTGAGATCACAACACCAGCAAACGGTTGACTTTTTTTCCAATCAAGAGACAAGCGTGCAGTAGGCGTCGAGTTTGCCAGCGATCCAGTGTCTTGCCCGGATGCGGATCAGTCGTCGAGTATTGCGAGAGCATCAAAACTTGTTGTTATCTCTGCTGGGGCATTCGGCTCCCCGACCATCCTGGAGAGGTCTGGGATCGGTGCCGAGGCGATCCTCAAGCGATGCGGCATCGAGCAACTAGTGAATTTGCCTGGCGTCGGAGAAAATTATCAAGGTGCACTTTGATCTATCTATTCTATGAGCTTGGCTTAGGACGGTTAGATCACAATCTCACATTTGTTCCTTACTTGGCTGCTGACGAGGCTGTTACCATGGACGCCCTCTGGCGTGGGGACAGTATCCTGCAGGGTAAGCATGTTTCTCCCCGCGATTGCAGCACTTTACAACCACCGAAATGCAGAAAGCCTCGCAGAATGGGACAGCAGCGGCAAGTCATTGATTGCACAAAAGTTGGTGCAAGTGATCATTATCACTTCTGGCATCGTGCTGATTGGAATCTCAGCGGCTTCGATTCCAAAATCAAGTGGCGTCCTGATGACGATGAGTTGAAAGCCATGGATCCAGCTTTTCAATCACGCTGGAAGGAGTTCTTCCAGGACCGGCCAGACAAGGCTGTCGCCATATTGTATGTTTTTGCAGGGTGCGTGCGCATTGCTTAGCTTTGATGATTTGGCAGTGCTCATGGCAGCCAGATATGCTCAACCGCTGTCGAGGCCGCTGTCGAGTATCCTACCTCCACGCAACTACATGACCGCTTGTCATTGTACAGTACTGCCCTCTGTCTACCCCATGGTTTTCTCTGAATTATTTCAATAGCTTTACCCCGTGTCTATTGGAAGTGTCCATGTCAACGTGACAGAGGACGGAAAAGAACGAATGGACTTTACTACAGGCTTCCTAGACGAGTGAGTGGACGCATTTCACTTTAGGGCACTTTGCATAACCACCACACTCCGACCAGTCCATCCGATATCGTTCCTCTTAAGTTCGGGTACAAAAAGACACGCGAACTTCTTCGACGCATGGCTTCCTACCGAGGTGAAGTCGCTGCTGGCCATCCTGATTTCCCGGAGGGAAGCGCTGCAGCCTGCAGAGAAGCTTCCGGGCCAGTGGACTTGAATGCGCCTGACATCGTTTACACTGCCGAAGATGACGAGGCGATCGATCGATTCCACCGCGATATCGGTAAGTGTTGGCATCCCATTTGAAATTTCCATTGTCACAGTGAAATATTGAATTGAATATCAGTGCAAACGACATGGCACTCGGTGTGTGCGGTTGAACCTTCGATGATTTCATATCTGATGTTTGTACTTGTAGCTTGGGACTTGTGCCATGAAACCGGAGGCAGATCAGGGAGTCGTCGATGCTCGGCTTAATGTATACGGAGTGTCGAACCTGAAGGTCGCAGATCTGTCAATTTCGCCATTGAACGTTGGAACGGTGGGTACTGGACATAGGATTGTTGATGTGCGATCTCACGATATGTACAGAACACGTACTCGACGGCACTTCTCATCGGAGAGCGGGCTGCGATGATCATTGCTCAAGAATTGGGCATCACCTGTATTTGATATGTATCGTTAGAGGAGCATTCTCTGGACCTGACTCCCAGTCAGAACCTGCAAGTGGAAAGAAAATCTACAGGAATCGTTTAAATTTATTTAGAATCGTGTGAAATCGACAATTACTGACTGAACAATCTAACTTTACAGAATTGAAGCTCGGTTGAAGCGTACAAAACTCTATGTAATGAAATACTTTGTTTTACAGCCAAAGCAAAGAAAGCAGACATGTGACTCCTTTCCTATTCTTGCGCGTTGGCTGATCATATAAGTATAGTCTGTATCACGTGGAGTTTGAGTTTGGCGATGATTTTGGTGAGACCAGCCTATATTACCACGGACAAGGAAACACTCAACATCTCAGACGTAGCAAAGACCGATTACGAGTCTAGGTGGCGTCACTGGTGTGCGCAGATGGGCCAAGGCCACATCGAGGAAGTCCAGGTGCGTGATGACGGCTACTTCTTTCGCTGCATTCATTGGATATACGAGTTTGTCATTAACTGCTACTTGGCAGGCCACAGCATGTGCCGAAGCAAGCTCGCATACAAACGTGATTCACTTAAGTTAGATAGTTGCGATGGCGCGATCGCCAATACGAGCGATAGCTTGGTTTGCAGGAGGTGAGTACTTTAGTTAATCAGTTATTGAAGACGTTACCATTAGCAACTTGCGAGGCACGACTTCCTTCTCATGAGCAGTATCTGCTTGCATATATATTGACCATGGTTCTCCATAATACCCGGTTACATACAAAAGACCCGCAAAATCTTGTGAGCGACAAACCATAAGCTCTCCCAGGCATGAACGTCCCTAATGCTTAATGTGTCGGGGGTACCCGCAATGCCACACATTCAGGGATGCTTGATTCTGAAATGACATTATCGTTCGAAAGTCGTAATGAAGCATCCTTCTTATAATCACGCAGTATCACACACGTACGCACCCCGTATTTTTCTCACATCATGTCCTAGTGAAAGCAGACTGATGTCGCAAGTTCCCGACGGGCGCCCAGCTATGCTTCGCTTCGGTCAAGGTTATAAAGTGGAACTTGCGAGAGGCAATCTGAAAAGGACCCTCCATTTTGATGTCTCAGCCAATCCCGTCAGAATTCGACATCGTTTTTGCTGGAGGTGAGCAGATATAATCCTGTAGTGATTTGCCCCCTTAAGCTACACATTATCCTGTGTAGGTGGTGCTACCGCCTGTGTTGTCGCAGGTCGCTTAGCTGCATATGACCCCTCGCTCAGGATCTTGATTCTGGAAGCTGGTCAACACACCCTGAATAAATCTATACATGTCCAGCCATACCAATATCCCCTCAACCAAGCACCGACGAGCACCACGGTCACATTCCACATGGGAAATCCATCTCCTCGTCTCAACGGCCGTGCGCCGATCGTTCCTTCCGGTCGTTGCGTCGGTGGAGGCTCGTGCGTGAATTGTGCGTAGCATACTTGCAATGATGAGCGATGCTCTAATGATGAGACAGTTATGGCATATACACGTGCACCTGCTTCGGACTATGATGATTGGGGAGTCGATGGTTGGGAATCTGAAAATCTGATTCCCCTCATGAAGAAGGTTTCAAAATTTGTTTCCAGGACATACGTTCTAATTGCTTATACGTTCACTTTATAGCTGGAGACATATGAGGTGCATCCCGATCGTCCAACTCACGGATATGACGGACCTATCAAAGTGTCATCTGGTGGGTGTAAGTTGGGTGTCGCCGACGAATTCATCCAGGTTGGCACGACATATCACAGGAGGCAGTATGCCGACGACACCAATGATTTAGAAACATGCAATACATACAGTGTAAGCTATGTTGTCCTTTCCTGACTGCGACCACTAATTAGATCTGTCTCAGCCGTGGTCGAAGTGAGTTCCTGCACTCGTTGGCAATTGCGACTCATGTCCAAAAGATACATCGACGGGACAACCGGAAGGCGTTCTGATGCGGCTCACAACTATGTCTACAACCAAGCTCACAACCCGAATTTACAAGTCTGGGACGGAAAGCGCGTGAAGCGTGTCATCTTCGAGTAAGTTGCCATCTAAGATCGTAACCCCAGCAAACGGTTGACTTTTTTTCAAACGAAAGAGACAAGCGTGCTGTAGGTGTCGAGTTCTCCAGAGACCCAGTGTCTTGCCCGGATGCGGATCAGTCGTCGAGTATTGTGACAGCATCAAAACTTGTTGTTATCTCTGCTGGGGCATTCGGCTCCCCGACCATTCTGGAGAGGTCTGGGATCGGTGCCGAGGCGATCCTCAAGCGATGCGGCATCGAGCAACTAGTGAATTTGCCTGGCGTCGGAGAAAATTATCAAGGTGCACTTTGATCTATCTATTCTATGAGCTTGGCTCAGGACGGTCAGATCACAATCTCGTCTTTGTTCCATACTTGGCTGCTGACGAGGCTGTTACCATGGACGCCCTCTGGCGTGGGGACAGTATCCTGCAGGGTAAGCATGTTTCTCCCCGCGATTGCAGCACTTTACAACCACCGAAATGCAGAAAGTCTTGCAGAATGGGACAGCAGCGGCAAGTCATTGATTGCACAAAAGTCAGTGCAAGTTATCATCATCACTGCTGTCATCGTGCTGATTGGAATCTCAGCGGACTCGATTCCAAAATCAAGTGGCGTCCTGATGACGAGGAATTGAATGCTATGGATCCAGCTTTTCAACCACGCTGGAAGGAGTTTTTCCAGGACCGGCCTGACAAGGCTGTCGCAATATTTTCTGCTTTTGCAGGGTGCGTGCGCATTGCTTAGCTTTGATGATTTGGCAGTGCTCATGGCAGTCAGATATGCTCAACCGCTCTCGAGGCCGCTCTCGAGTATCCTACCTCCACGCAACTACATGACTGCTGGTTATTGTACAGTACTGCTTTCTGTCTACCCCATGGTTTTCTCTGAATTATTTCAATAGCTTTACCCCGTGTCTATTGGAAGTGTCCATGTCAACGTGACAGAGGACGGAAAAGAACGAATGGACTTTACTACTGGTTTCCTAGATGAGTGAGTAGCAGACGCATTTCATTCCAAGGCTCTTTGCGTGACTGTGACACTTCGCGCAGTCCATCTGATATTGTTCCTCTTACTTTTGCGTACAAAAAGACGCGTGAACTTTTTCGACGCATGGCTTCCTACCGAGGTGAAGTCGCTGCTGGCCATCCTGATTTCCCGGAGGGAAGCGCTGCAGCCTGCAGAGAAGCTTCCGGGCCAGTGGACTTGAATGCGCCCGACATCGTTTACACTGCCGAAGATGACGAGGCGATCGATCGATTCCACCGCGATATCGGTAAGTGTTGGCATCCCATTTGAAATTTCCATTGTCACAGTGAAATATTGAATCGAATATCAGTGCAAACGACATGGCACTCGGTGTGTGCTGCTGCACCTTCGATGATTTCATATCTGATGTTTGTATTTGTAGCTTGGGACTTGTGCCATGAAACCGGAGGCAGATCAGGGAGTCGTCGATGCTCGGCTTAATGTATATGGAGTGTCGAACCTGAAGGTCGCAGATCTGTCAATTTCGCCATTGAACGTTGGAACGGTGGGTACTGGACATAGGACTGTTGATGTGCGATCTCACGATATGTACAGAACACGTACTCGACGGCACTTCTCATCGGAGAGCGGGCTGCGATGATCATTGCTCAAGAATTGGGCATCACTTGTATTTGATAGTATCGTTAGAGGAGCATTCTCTGGACCTGACTGCTCACGCGCCGTAAACAATGCATCAGAGCACCGGACATTTGCGTAGGAAGCATCCCTCAAATCTATGGAACTGTATTCTCCAAATCATCGACCATGCAGGCTAATTATACTGAGTTCAACAGAGAGGTCCGTGATTAGCCGTAAGTAGATAAAGACGAGATCATCGTAAACAATAGTATCATTTAAGTTAGACCATTTTAATGGATTAAAATGCCGTACAAAAACTTCCGACAAATGCTCGATTCTTGAAAATGGCATTGTCGTTCGAGAGTCGTAATGAAGCATCCCTCTTATAATCATGCATTATCACACACATACACACCCCGTATGGTTCTCACATCATGTAGTGAAAGCAGACTGAAGTCGCAAGTTCCCGATGGGCGCCAAGATAGGCTTCGCTTCGGTCAAGATTAAAAAGTGGAACTTGCGAGGGGCAATCTGGAAGGAACCCTCCATTTTAATGTCTCAGCCAATTCTGTTAGAATTCGACATCGTTTTTGCTGGAGGTGAGCAGATATAATCTTGTAGTGGTTTGCCCTCTTCAGCTACACATTACTCTGTATAGGCGGTACTACAGCCTGTGTTGTCGCAGGTCGCTTAGCTGCATATGATCCCTCGCTCAAAATCTTGATTTTGGAAGCGGGTCAACACACCCTCCACAAACCCATTCATGTCCAACCCTACCAATATCCCTTCAACCAAGCACCGACGAGCACCACAGTTGCATTCCACATAGGAAATCCATCTCCTCCTCTCAACGGCCGTGCGCCGATCGTCCCTTCCGGTCGTTGCGTTGGTGGAGCCTCATGTGTGAATTGTGCGTAATATGCTTGCCATAATGAAGAAGACCTTGATAATCAGACAGTCATGGTATACACCCGTGCACCTGCTTCGGACTATGATGATTGGGGAGTCGATGGTTGGGAATCTGAAAATCTGATTCCCCTCATGAAGAAGGTCTTAAATTCGTTTTCACAATATTCGTTCGAATTGCTTATACGTTCGCTTTATAGCTGGAGACATATGAGGTCCAGCCCGATCATCCAACTCACGGCTATGACGGACCTATCAAAGTTTCATCTGGTGGGTGTAAGTTGGGTCTCGCCGACGAATTCATCCAGGTTGGCACGACCTATCACAAGAGGCAGTATGCCGACGACACCAATGATTTAGAAACATGCAATACATACAGTGTAAGCTACGATGCTTCTTTCCCAACTTTGACAATTTACCAGATCTATCTCAGCCATGGCGGAAGTGAGTTCCTGCACTCTTAGGCCATTGCGAATTCTTGGCTCATGTACACAAGATACATCGACGGGACGACCGGAAGGCGTTCCGACGCAGCTCACCACTATGTCTACAACCAAGCTCACAACCCGAATTTGCAAGTCTGGGACGGAAAGCGCGTGAAGCGTATCATCTTCGAGTACGTGACCATCTGAGATTGCAACCT